GAGCCACCCTTGAATGCTTAATCAGTATTTATGTTTTCATTTCCAATCTCATTATGGCTGCTATTGCAGACAGACTGTGGAAGGGCTCCAGGCAGGTCCCACAGGTCCCTTCTGCACAATCTTGCCAAACTCTGAAGGCCTAGACCTGAGCTGAAAAAAGGCTCACACAGATGGATGAGGGACTGGAGGGGGAGGGGGGGGTGAAGAAAGGCTGCTGAGGTTCCTGAGTCTCTTTTTGTGCAGCCTTCCTTCCCAGCAAGGGGTGTTACCACATCTCCTAGGGACCTAGATCTGAAGGATGACTTGCTGGGAGTTGTAAGAGGTCACAGATTCACAGGCAAGGTATGGCTGTGTGTTCCAGATTGCTCTACTGTAAGGGAAAAAAAAATCCATTCCTCAAAATTCCATTCATCACTGTTACGCTAACACACTCATTTAGACAAGAGACAGCTGCATGCTGAGAATGTCATTCCATTACAACACTGCCACCTCTTGTTCTTCTGCTGGTTTCATTTTTGCCCAGCTCCACTCCAATCTGTGGTGGATCCACCACCAACAAAAAGGCATAAATTCTCCACTATTTTTGTTAAACTGAAACCTTTCAAGGAAGAGCAACTGGCTGGATGCAATGTCATGTACTTCTATACAAGCTGCAAAAAAGTAGAGCACTTGAAAAGAGCCACATATTTTATCAATCAGTGTTGATTAGTGTGTAACTATTTTCTCTGCTTACTCAGAGAAGGAGAGACTGAAAGAAATGGGGTGGGGAAAGAGGAGGAACAAAGCAAACCTACCACAACAACAAAAAAACCACCCTAGAATCTGAGAAGCAGCAAAATCCACCTCAGGAGAAAATGGGATGGGGTTTGTCCAGTATATGTGAAATACATTTTATCCATGCAATGTTGCCTTCAAACTCTGTGACTTCCAATGTGAACCTCAGTTTTCCTCTCAGTACTTGTGCAATCTGTTACCCAGGGGCTGCCAATGCTGGTTGAAGAAGAGCAGTGCCTGCCTCCACCAGGAACACCAAGAATTATGTAGAGTCTCCTGGAGAAGACTTGGCTGCAGATAAATAATGTAAGTTGATTGTCTTTGAATTTAGACTAGGTGGTCTCTGGGAAGAAGTTTGCTCTAGAAGGAGGAGGATCACACTGTGCTAGCAGGTGTGACATGGGGAAAGCCCACAGATGGCACAGAAAAGAGACAGATTGGCTGGGCCTCTTTGTCCAGCTGCTTGATGTTCAACTAGTTCTTCATTGGGGTTTGACTACTGACAGAGATGGGGCTGCTGCATGGATTCCTTGATTTCTAGCACTGTATTTAATTATTTCAGATATCAGTTATATAAAACACTCTCTTGAATTAACACTTTTTTGCTAGACTTTTTAATGATGTCTCTCTATGTTTCAGTCTTCATGTGCAGAGTAGCTGAAAAGAGGGGTAATTTTTTAGCCCAACGCAGGTACCTGGGAGCTGCCAGAAGGCTCTGAAATGGGTGAGTCACCCAGGCACACAGCACAAATCCCCTGGGCTGTGGGGCCAGCTGAAACTGCTGGTCAACTGCTGGTCACCACTCAGAAAGAAATAACCTAACAACCAGCCCGTCAGGGGACAGTTTTCACAGCTCTTTCTAGTTGGAAGATCCAGTCAAAAAGAAAAATTTGTTTTTCAGATGGAGTTGGCAGGAGACAAGCAGATTTACAGTGGTTGACTCCTAATACAATAGGATTTGAAGCAGTTGGGTTTTTCTACTTCGTACTCAGTAAACACATTAATTCTGAACCACATTTATTGAATCCAAACTTTCTTGCAACCCTTTCTGGTGTCTAAATCCAAGATGAACCCTCAAAATCTGTGCTTCTTGTTTTGGATGCATCGTTTGCAGGGCCCACCCTGGAAGTGTTAGTAAGGTGAAATCAAGAGATATTTTAAATTAAAAAATTGTGTCATTTCATGCAATTTATTTCAAGTGAAAAATATGCAAATTCCAAGTCTGTCCTGACTTCTACAGCATAAGTTTCTCTCCTGACCTATTTTTTTTTATCTCTACAATAGAAATATCCATCATGTCATGTAAGTGGTCATGTATAATCAACAAGATAAGAGCCCTCAGGTTAGTGCACACACTATTGCAGAGAGTATAGTCATAATGTCAGTATCATGAAAGCAGTCCCAAAATCCTGATTCCTTAAGTCAGGTTTCAGATTTATGATTTTGATCTTTATGTAAGCCACATTTATAATTTTGAGCACTATAATCTGGCAAAACAATAACTATAAAATCAATAGATAAGTTGAATATTTCTTGATATATTTTGGTCCAATATTTCATGTTTCAGTCCAATTCTATGTAAATACACCTTCAATAAATGCTACATGTAGAGTCAGTCTACACAAGCAGTTCATTGAGATGCTTATGGTACTTGGGGCTGGGCACAGCCATTGGTTATTAAACCCCTTAATAATCTAGTTTCACTTCTGAATGATCCTGAAGTAATAACAGGATATTATATATACCATATAAGGTAGCAAAAGGGGATGTTTCAGATGAGGGAAGCATGGAAAAATTATCCTGAATGGGAAAATTAAATACATCCATCCAGAAACTGGTGCCAAGGAGTGAAGCTGGGTGGCTTAGCTTACATCCTGGATTTTAAACATAAGTTATAAATACCTGTATACACACAAAAAAACCACTCGTGTCTGTTAGCTACTATAAGTAAAAACCTGTATTTAAAGGATAGAGTTGTATGGACACTCACTAGCAGTGCTCTGTACCACAACAAATTCTGACAGGACTGTCAAACAGCCAGAGTATAAAAACCACTGAAATATAAGTCCTTGTTTTTCTTTGTATGGAACCAAAGAGAGATGCTGCAAAAATTGTTTCATTCTTCATTAAGAAATTAAGGATTTCTACAGTATATCTGGGAAATACCATAAAAAACATCCGCAAGCAGTTACAAGTTTACAAAACCTGGCGCTTGGCTCCCTGCAAATGCACTATCACACCCTCCCCCAGAAGCCTTACTCACCCACGGTCACAGAAGTTGCAGGCAGAGCTGGCTGCCGCTCCTGACGGTTTTTGCCCTGGTCACAATATATCCATTTTCTTTGTCAAGTCCTCCCTCACAGTGTTCCCGCCAAGTGCACCATGGCTCCTGCTTTAATTTCACCCTCCCCTCCTGATGCCCCCACAGACGCATTCCCCCAGGCCATGAATGGCATACCTCAGTCTTGTGGCCCCACCAGTTAAAACAGCGTTCACACTCTGGGTGTTTTCAGCTACCCTTTATTTTGTCCTTCTCCAGGCTAAGAAGAGCTCATTCCAGTCCTGAAAAATAGTAACTAATAACAATAAACCCCAGCAACTATAATACCTGCAATAATAATAGTAGCAATACCCGTAGCAAAATGCACAGTGGTGGGTTTCTTTTTGAAGTCAGCTCCTCTGTACCTGTTTCAGTCAGAATTCCTTATGTGCTCTTACTGTTTAGAAGTAAAGCAAATGCCTTACAGAAGCCCTTTTCTCACAAAGCTCTGGATTTCTCACCTATATTTGTGCTCTCTTCAGCATGGAATATGAGATTCCCGTGTGATATCTTTCCCCGGTGTCTGCCTCGGCCCATGCAACCCCTCATCTCCATGCTGATAGAATTAAGAGCTGGTTCTCGCAAAGACACCCACAGATGAATTGTGACAAATGAGAGGCAAGAATTTCCTTCAGGCATCCATCATTTGTTGGAATCTAACACAAAGTAACATAGACGATCCAGTTCATGGTAGTCGCCTCCCATACAAGTCCCTGCAGCCAGGATACACCCTGTCCTCTCCCAGAGAAAAACCTGAGGCCTCTGTATTTGTGCTCCCTCACCACAGTGCCCCTGGGTGCCTGTGGTGAGGGAGCAGACATCAGCTGAGCAGTGCCAGAACACATAAACCTTGGTTTCTAGTCCTGTCCTGACCTGGCTGATAGCCTGGCTAAAGCACGCAGTAACACTTGCAGTAGTTTTGGAGATACCCTCAGCCTCTTCCTCTGCGTGCTAGGGATGTGATTTAATTCCTATGTGTGAATTAGAACACCCAAAATACTGTCATCAGAACACTGACTTTATTAATAGAGACAAACAAAGGATTAAAACACGTTATGAGTTTGCTGAAATACGCAAGTGTACCTGTGGAGGACAGACATATTTATAAACATCAGTTCATTGTAGAAACATGAGTAGGATATCCCCAGGTAGTTTGCAACGAATCCAGACAGCTTTCTCTCCGTGGTGGCCCTGGTAAAGCAGCCAATATCCCCCCAGCCCCACCCCAGCCATGCTAGTGCCGGACCCCCCGCACACCATCAGTGTCTCTCTCATGCCGGACTGTCTACAGCCCAGGGCGAGCACAGCTGGATTTGGCCTGAGGCCAGCGGTGCGGGTGAGCCCCAGCGAGGGCTGCAGGCTGCTGGCTCTGGCAGGTGCCCAACTGGGTCCTCTGCGCGGGGCGGCAAGAGAGAGGGGTCAGGGTGCTTTGGACACACCCGCATCCCGCCTGTCCCCGCTACCCCCAGCCACCTCAGGGAAGTCCCCTGGCCCCGGCTCCTCCAGCCGGCAGCGGGTGGATGTTTTCCGCCCGAGGAAGGAGCCGAACACCCCGGGGCACGGCACGGGGCCAGTACGGCTTCCCGGCACGGCTTGGCACTACTCGGGTCTGCACTGGGACGGCACTGCAGCTCCCGGGACCGGCACCTCTACTCCCAAGGCACGGCCCGGGATTTTCCTGGACGGACAAAAACAAGCAGGGGAGGAGGCGAGGGAGAGGACGGGGTGGGACGGGGGAGAGAAAGAAAACAGCTCCACGGATGTCGGATGTCACGGACAGGTTACACGGGCGACGCGGGGACTTCTCGCCGCGTTTCTCGGGCGGAGGAGCTGCGGGAAGTCGCCGGCAGGTCGGGGCGGCCAGACGTCGGTGCCTGCGCTCCCGGCGGCTTGTCCCGGGACGCCTCTGCTTACAGGCACTTGAGGAGGAAGGAATTGCACGACGTCCCCCGGGGGCAGTCGCAGAGCTTCCCGATGCGAGCCCCCTTTCTCACGACGCACTGCTCCCCGGCGTAGCACTGCGGGCAGCGGCCGGCGGTGAGTGGGACCGCCACCAGCGGCCGCCCAGTTCTGTCCCGTCCTGTCGCGTCCCGTACCGTCTAGCCTAGTCCCATTCTCTCCCGTGTCGTCTCGTCCCGTCTAGACCAAGTCCTATTCTATCCCTTCCCTTCCCTTCCCGTCCCGTCCCGTCCCGTCCCGCCCCGTCCCGCCCCGCCCCGTCCCGTCCCGCCCCGTCCCGTCCCCATTCCGTCCCTTCCCGTTCCTCTACCATTCCGGCCCGTCTCGCCTCGTTCTGTTCTACTCCTTTCCCCTTCCTTTTTATTCCCTTCCCTTCCCGGTCCCGTCCCGACCCGTCCCGCCGGGACACCCACCATGGGCACCTGCCCGAACTTCTTCTCGTAGTGCGGTCCCCTCTTGCTCTTGAGCTTCTCCAGCACCTCCTGCAGCGCCTCGATCTGCCGAGAGACCAGAGAGCCGCCGTCAGACCGCGCCCGCCCCGCCGCCGCCCCCCGCCCGTTCCCGGCCCCCGCCGCACCAGCTCCTTCTCCCGGGAGGCGCCGCCGCCGCCGGGCGGTCCCAGGTCGCGGGCGCGGCGCGGCGGGGTCGATCCGTGCCCGCGGGCGCTCAGCAGCAGCGCGGCCGCCACGGCGCACAACGCCAGCGCCCGGCAGCTCTCCATGGTGCTGCCGCCCCGCCGCCGCCGCCGCCGCCTTTATAGCGCCGCGCCCGCCCCGCCGTGCGTCAGCGCCCACCGCCGCCGCGCCCCGAGTGCCGGCACGGCACGGCACGGCTCCGCGCCCCCACCGCCCGAGCGCCCCGGTCGGCGCCCCAAAGCGCCGGCCGTCCCTGGCCCTCGGGCCAAACAGCGGATCCGTCTCTGAGGGCGGCCGAGGGGCAGGCGGCCGGGCCAGCCGCACCCTGCCCGCCCTCCCTGCGCTCGTCCACAGTCGAGAGCTGTGGGCAGAGTGGAAAACTATTGCCTCGCCCCTGGGGGCTGGGATGGTTGAGGGAGAGGATGGACGTTGGACACACAGAGATGAAAGTGGAAGTTGGGCTTGCAGACTAGGGAGACTAGACTTGGAAGTCAACACAGGGATCTGACGGGAGGGAGGGTAAGTATCCGTGGGCTAAGGAAAAACATGATGTGCTAGAAGGAAGGAAGAGCCATGTGGGATAATTAGCCTAAAGTGTGTGTGGGGGAGTGGTAGATAGTGGTGATGAGCAATAAGCTGATGAGGATGTGAGTACTTGAATAAGGACAGGGGAGAACCAAGAGTGTGGGGAGGCTCAGGGCCACCGAGGGCAAGGTAAGAAGCAGCATCAAAAGGCCCAGGATAAAAGTAACTGCTAATATATCAAGCAGAACTGTAAATGGTGCTTGAGGTCAAATATCACACCACTGAGCAGGTTCTTGGGGAGCATTATACACCCTGTGTGTGGAATGAGGCCACCTCCATTTTGGGAAAGAAAAAGTGCTGTTGCCAGAAGGAGACCTAGTATCAGACATACCATTCAGACCTTCCCACTGATGTTTGGTTCTACCAGCCCAGTGGCCTTGTGTCCATGAATATTCTCACTAAAAAGATCCTTGGCAAATCATGCCTGCCCAGGCTTCACGGCCATGGCAGTGGCAGGGATAGCTCTTCCCATTTAGAAAAGCAGTGGTATGCCAGGAAGAGCATGCAAGATGAAGGACAGTCAGTGCTCAGCCTTTCTCCAGCCTCCTCTGGGCCAAGGCTGGGATAAAACAGGGGTGCTGAGCAGCAGTTTGCTGGCATGAGACATTTGGCCATCTGGTTGCTGGGACAAGGAGGCAACAAGTTGGGTCTGCCTGTGCAGAGGTTTCACTTCAAGCTCATGGTTCTGAAGTGGCTACGGGGATGTTCCTGCCTGCAAGTCAACAGCAGCAGGAACTGGGCTGTGTCTCCTTAGGTGAAGGGAGGATCATTTGGAGAAGGAGAAAACTGGAAAACCTTGTTAACAAAACTCTCCTAGCTTGTTAACAAACTCTTAACAGCTGGTAATTTGTAGGGAAGCTAGGAAGTGGAGTTAGGAACTGCTTGAAAAGGCAATGCAATGTGAGCACCCACACAAGTTTGTTTAAAGAAAAGTTATATGGGCCCAGGCATGTATTTTTCCAAGCAGATGGGCATTTTTTCAAGGGTACAGAATGAGTGTGGTTCAAAAAGTAATTTTCAACAGCAGCATTTTGTTTGAGGTTCTGATCTCTCTATCACATTGCTTGCCTCCAGTACTGTGTGTTCACCTCTTGCTGTTACCTCCTCCCACACACTCCTATTGATCATCACATCCAGCAAAGGTCTCATTTGTAATTGCTGGTCAGAGTAGAGATCCTCTGTCTGTTTGCGTGGATCCTCCAGCTTCATTTAGCCACAGGGAAGGTTAAGATTTCTGATGCCAGGCTGGTGGTAAACCACTCATAGCAAAGTCCAGGCTTTGTTCCCAGGCTGGAGCAAAACCACAACTACATGCAATTCTGAAAATGATGGGTATGTCAAAACAAAGTTTCTTAGAACAGAGAAATAACACAGGCTATGAAAAATGCAACACTTCATACAGAGAGGCAGATATATGGCCTATTCAACTTTAAAAGCAGCATCTGTGAAGCCTGACCAACATTTCAAACCATATTTTATAGTACGAGGATTACTCATGCAGTGTTGAACACACCAGAGATGCTCAGAAAACATCACTGTTTTCTTTCCAACTTACACTTCCAGTAAAAAGCTGAATTTAATGTTAGCTACTCTAGTGAAATTATTGTTGAATGTGGAGGCAATTACAAATTTCTGTTTCCAAAAGTCATTTTGTCTGTCTGGCTACAGACACCCACAGAACTATACAAGTTTCTGTGCCTGTTAGTGTCTGTATCACACTGTCTCTGCAGACATCACTGTCCCTTGTTCCCCATTCAGCCATTTTTGTACACTTTGTCTCCAGCACTAGGGGATAAAATCAGAAGGATTAACATCAGCAGGATAGCTGAATATTAAATAAGAGCGTCAGAGGCTACCAGAGTGTCAGAGGAAGGGGTCAAGGTACAGAACCAGAAAATCACTGTTTACAATCACAAAAAGGCAGGTACTTTCCAACAGCATCAGTAACCAGTCATAAGACAGCTGGCTATGGAAGGAGGGGAGCCTGTGGCACCTAAGCGCTTAGCTCTGGGTAATCCACGTGAAATGCAATCAGACCTTGGGGACAGACAGCTCTGTTGTACCAAAGTTTAATCCAAGTTTCTCAAAGTTTACCTTCTGCATGCAAATGTTATTGCACACAAGGTACAAACAGAACACTACCAATGTGCATTAGCATCTGTACATCAGATGGATAATTTTGAAAGTCACACATGCTTTTCATAATCACACTCTTTCATCATGATCAATTAATTAAGTGTACTTCTAAAAGTGGGAAAATAATGGAGGTTTATGTTGATGCTGGGGAGCAGTTCTAAGGCATTTATGTGTGTTCTAGTTTTGGCTTGGCACAGACATAAAGTTGGACGGATTTTAGGACTACTAGACTGTAGAGATTAGTGTCAAGCATTTGAACAAGTGCTCTACTGAATCAGAGACACAAAAATGGACATCTAGCTTTAAGTGGATGCTTTAAGGCTTTGCAGGAAAGCAGCAGGCTTTTATAACTGCATTGTTAAATTGCCTTAATTTATAAACCACAGTTAAAAAAATAATATACCATCACTGGTTTTCTGAATCAAGACTTTTTTTACTGAACCCTTGAAAAGCGAGGAAAATCTAAGATAGATCAGAGTTACTGTTGAAGTAATAAGAGTCCAGAGGCATACTTGAAACACTATATCTATTTCAGCAGGAGATAGCAATTCATCTTGATGAGTAATAGATTGGAAAAAAGCTACTTAAATAAAAGATGGGTTCTCAGAACAACAGTACATATACCAATGCCCACACAAACAGTGAAGCTACAAATTCTCCAATAAACAAACCCCACACAGGTGGAAGAGTAGGGGGAACAGGTCCCCAGTGGCTTCTCCATTTCTGCAGGCAGAGCTATCACAGAGGCTGTGCACTACCCACATCTCATTTCAGCCCTAGAAGCAGGCTTGTAATGATTGTGTTCCAGAGGCTCTACCTTGATGTTTGTTGAACAGTCACCAATTTTGATTGAAGCCCAAATTGTAGTTCCCAGGTTCCCAGCACCTTCCTAGCTGCCATGAAAATAAAAAGGAAAATGGCAATGGGTACATTTTTATATCCATCCTGAATTCACCACCTCAGCCCAGATAATTTGAAAAGGAAACCCTTGGTTACTGCAACAGTCTCTAGGGACATGAAAAGAAGCTTAGCCCACCTCCTTCATGGTTTTCCATTTCCTTCTCTAGAGGCGTTTGAAAACACCCTCAATGTCACAGCATCGACTCTTTTTAACTCCTTGCAGTTAAGTGTTAACCTCTTAAAGAGACCATGCCTAACTATCATGGAGAAATGGAAACCTCTTGGCCTTCCCTCTTCTCAAGGGCTGGAGGGAGGCACATAGCTCAGAACAGCTAGGCCCAAAGCAAGACTAGATAGTAGCAAAGGTTCCCAGAAGTCTAGAGCACCTGGTGTGATGTTCCGGTTCACCACAGTTTGTGTGCTTGATTTAGCACAGCTTGATATAGCACAGCTATTTCCCTTGTTCCTCAACCTCCATTTGAAAAATCAGTGTCATCCCAAGTACCAGCCTTTCCAGTAAGGAAACAGATTAGCGGTTGTGAGCTGCTTCAATACCATAGTGAAGAGGTTACATGTACCAGAGACAAGAAGTCTTGAAATAGTCACCCACAGCTTTTACATTGCCTCTGTCATCACGAATATTATAACCTTACAGTGGCAGCTACCTTTAATCTAAGTTTTAAAATTTCCTTTCACTGAAAAAGGGATCCTACTGGTAGCACAGTGCCAATGAAAACTGAAAATTACAGTTGTAATGGCATCCATGTTAAACCTAAAAAGGAGCTGCTACTGCAAAAGCTGGGAGTCCTGGTGGCAGACAAAATGTGAGAGCTCTGAGTGATTATTTTGAGACAGCATGAATAGATCTACCAACATCATCAAATGTAGTACAAGCATGGGGTCCAACTCCTCGCTCCTGCTGACTCCACAGAAAACAATGTTTTTCAGCAATTCTCTGGGCAGCAAGAGACCATCTCAGCAATCAGAACACCATCACACATGATGGGCACTGCGTGCAGTGCCCCATACAGAATGCAGCATGGTAACACGGAAAAGCTTTTCCAAAACAGCTGTGTAATGGAGGAGCGATAACCACTAGTGGCTCTCTGAACTGCTGTTCTGCACTGAAGATCCTGCTTGGTAGTGATTGCTAACCAGATCATGCTGATAGGATGCTAAGCCTGTGATGATTAATTTCATTTACTTAACATGTTTTCAAAGCTAAGTATTATTAAGGCAGAACACTCCTATTTAATCAGACATGTGTTTTGACTTTACTTGCATACATATTCAGAGGAAGAAATTTTCACAAGAACTGTGAAAAGAAATTGATGTAACAATCAACAGGGAATTACCATTCTCAGAAGCATCTTTCCAAACATATCTGTCTCCTGTATTCCAGGATTATCTGTTACTCTCTCCAACTTGGCATGATTTAATTACCAGTGTAAGCATTCAAAATAAA